TAAAGCAAAAACCTCTCAAAAAAAAAAAAATATAAATATATATATAATGGCCAAGTTATTTACCTGAGGAAAGCATGAACACTTCTGTGAAACTTTAGGTAGCAATATTTTCTCTAATAACTGTGGCTTAATTATTAGAATCTCCCAGGACCAGCAGCTGGCATAGTGGTTACATGACGGACTCCCACATAGTCGACCACAGTTCGAGTTCTGGACCTGATGGCTTCAAACTCACATAGGGCATGCATGCCCAAAGTCCTGAGAGGAGAACTGAAGAGCAAGGATTGTGTCGTGGCCATCCTCACTAGGGGGTGATTTCTCGCTTTCTGTCTCTGTCTCTCTCTCTGGTGAGCACACACACCCTCTAGCAAAAATCTCTCTTTTAAAAAAAATATTTTTAAGCTACCACTACTTGAATAGAATAGATTCACATCAACATTGTAGAATAAAAAAATAACATGTACAATATAGCCTTAAACATCTCCACCAGTAAAACACATCTGGGATCAGCCAGGTAGCATGGTGGTTAAGGTGCTGAATCCCACATGGCTAATCTTGTGGTTTGAGTCCTGGATCCTGCAGCTTGAAAAACACACAAGGCACAGCCAGCAGATGGTGGGTGGTTAAGGCACTGGACTCCCACATGGCCAACCACAGTTCGAGTCCCAGACCTGACAGCTTGCTTTCTTACTTTCTCTCTCTGTGTCTCTGATGAGCACGTGTGACCTATAACAAATTTAAATACTACTAATAATAACATAAATCAAATAAATGATTATTTAAAAAGGAAAAGAGAAACACCCAGGGCATGTGTGCATGTGTGCCCAAGATCCTGACAGGAGAATGGAGGAGACTGGTATGGTCATCCCCTCGGGATACGTTTTCACTTTTTGTCTCTCTCTCTCTCTGTCTCTAGTGCTCTCTCTAGTGAACGCACATGCCTTATAGCAAATGTAAAAAGAATATTGGGGGCTAGCAGGTGGTGTGGTTAAGATGCTGGTCTCCCACAGGGCCGAACCGAGTTCAAGTCCCAGACCTGACTGCTTGCTTTTGTCCCTTTCTCTCTCTGGTGAGTGCACATGCCCTATGGCAAATTAATACATATACATACATACTTTTAGAATTATTTAATTTATTTATTTTTAATTTGACCAGAGAGGGACAGTGTGAGAAAGAGAAAGTGAGAAAGCAAGCAACCAGTTCCAGGATTTGAATTATGGTCGGCCATATATGAGTCCAGCATCCTCCACCATGCCACCTGC